GAAAGGAAAGACTAGCATGGAATTCACTTGAGACGCGTGAAGTATGTTCTCCAGTCATATATACATCTAAACAAGATATTCGGAAATCCACAGACTGAAACCAAAACGCGATTAAACTTCTCGGCTTTTTTATTTGGGGACGGTGGTTCGTGACCCGCTCCTTTACTAACACCCATTTAATTTCCAATTTCAAGACAAAGTGAAACATGTTTCAAACAAATATTTATTGAAAAATTTGAAATCAAACCAGTACTGTAGATTATTAGCCATATGTTGCTACCATTACCAACGAGCCCGTCAAAACTGTGTGTGTGTGTGAAATCCCGCTTCCCCTGCTGGGGCATGGGGCGAACACATTTCTGTGTCCGTTTCACTGATCAATTTTTTACAGGCAAGTAGTTGATCAGACTTCTGTTCCCTACCCGACCCTTTTGTTTTGTTCCTCTGGGATTCGAACCTGGACCTCTTGCGCAATGCTAGACAATACGTTTAACCATTTAACTACAGAGGCGGCCCTGTCAAAACTGAGTAATTACTTAGTAAATTAATGTGTAATGTTGAAATAGCGGTTTACTTTAATCGTCCTAATTATGATCCAGTGACCGCGAAGCCTTACATAATGCAATTGTCAGCTTTTGGATATTATCACACGAGTGTACATTTTACTTTTTGCATAGTTCATTCTGATGCATGAAATTTTTCCGATACCTTATTTTGTTTCCTTTATTTTAGTAAAAAGAACGAATCATTGTGAGATACATAAGAAAGTTAAAAATTGTTAATATCTAAAAATATATATTCTTATAGTAGGTATGTAATAAAACTAAATTGCAACAGTATAATATGTCTATCTCTTAAGATTATCTCACTAGATCGACGGGAAGCGGACGATGTCGATAGTCGTAGGCAATAGCTATAATTTATAAAGCACAGGAGGTTGTTTGCATAACTAAATACATGCCCATAATAACTATTACAAGTGGACGACGTCTATCGTGCAAAATGTAAGAACAAAATCCCGATCTTTCAAACAGTCAAACGAACCAATATTTGAGTTTCTTTTACTTTATCATATTACACACTTATATTTAAAGTAAATTGTTTCGTAAATATAGATGGATAAATGTCATTTTATTAATTATATAAGTTTCTAAGAACAAACACAATCTTAGACAATAATATATATAAATACTGTTCCTTGGATATTTGTTGAGACTGTTACGTCGTAAAATCTCAACAATTGCAGTAAGTTTGTGAAAAATTGTACGTTCGAGTATAAAACGCAGGTGCTACAGACATTCAGGAAACTCCGGAAGTAAGGCTATGTATTTTAGGGCTTTGTTTTTGTTTTCACGACTTCTTTTTGCAAACTAGAAGGTACTGCCCCCTGTCAAACATTATGGATGAAGAGGTCTGATGGCTATCAACGGGTTGTGGGTCCAAACCACACGGGGGCAAAATGTTTCTAACCAATTTATAATTTTTCTGAAACATGTTAGACTTTAAATACTATAGTTTACGCGAGTAGTACATATTTAAATGAAATACTTTAACGGTTTAAAACGCGATATATTAGTTAAACTTATTTGAAAATGATTTTTAACTTCGGCCCGACGTCTCCCCGTGACCACGGCTGCTGCAAAGCATCCGAAACGTCGAGCCGAAGTTAAAAATCATTTTCAAATAAGTTTAACTAATATATCGCGTTTTAAACCGTTAAAGTATTTTATTTAAATGTTAGACTTTGTCTGGAAATCTGGTTATTAAATGGGTGGTAGAAATATCGAAATTTCGTTCGAGTCATGAACCACCGTCCACAGATTTAAAGCCGAATATTCAAAGCCGAATAGGCCGAAAGCGCGTCTTGTCTAGATGTTATATGGCTAGGGTATATCACTTATCTTCAAGTAAACACCAGGCGTGTCTAGCGGCTGGCCTCTACTATTATAAAAAAGGTTTCAAACGTCTAGTAAGTTGTGTGGAATTTAAAGGAGCATTTTTATGGCATGGGGCATAGACACTATGCTTTATAGATGGATTTATACTACCCAACTTCACCTCTGTTCGTGCCATTCTGCCAGATGGCGTTATGAGTTTCGACTTTTCTTGGATATAACAACTGGGACTATATATATATATATATATAGTATATAGGATAAAGTGATTTGCACTATTAAGTAACTCTTTTAACCGTGGTCACGGGGGACTCCTGCTATAAAGCATATGAAACGTCGGTCCATAGTTAAAATAAATACTATTTACTACTACTACTCCGCTGGCGCAGCGACCCAAAGTGGGTCTTGGCCTTCACAACAAGAGAACGCCACTTCCGCCGATCCTGCGTCACGGTTCGCCACTCGGATACACCGAGTTCCACCAGGTCAAGCTCAACGGCGTCTTTCCAGCGGTATTTGGGCCGGCCAACGGGTCGGCGGCCGTTCGGGATTCCGAGATACGCCTTCTTGACGCTTCGGTGCTCTTCCATTCTTTCGACGTGGCCGGTCCAGCGGAGTCTTTGAGCTCGAGCTTCTCCCATGATGTTAGGGGCGGCAAACAGCTTTTCGATCTCCTCGTTCTTTCGCGGCCGCCAGCTACCGTCTTCCTTCTGTGTCGGTCCCAGAATCTTCCGCAGTATTTTGCGTTCTGTCACTAAAAGCTTTTCCTCATCTTTGAGTGTTAGCGTCCACGTTTCGCAGCCGTATAGAAGGATCGGTCTAATGACTGTTTTATAAATCTTTATCTTTGTAGTCCTGGTCAGCAATTAAAGAGTTAAAATAAATAAGTTAACTAAAATATTTTGCGTTTCAAACCATCAAGAGAGTTCTATTTAAATTAAATACGTAATAAAACATAACAGCCATATTTATTTCAGGCTTACGTCAAGTCCACAAACATTGATATTATGATCAATGAATTTATGAATACCCTATGTTTATTCTAAATTGAAACCAAATAAAACATGCCGACGGAAATAATTATGTTCAAATATTCAGAAGTAACCAGGTCTTTATATTTGCAGGAAAATGTAGGGTAAAATGTTCGTAGTGCTTTAACAGCGTTATTGGGGAGGCAGTTAATGTTATCAAAGGTGTTAATGAGTGTGTGCAATCCCGTTTCCCCCTCGTGGGGCATGGGGCGAACACATTTCTGTGTCTGTTCCACTGATCCGATCATTAACAGGCAAGTAATTGATCAGACTTCTGTGCCCTGCCCGACCGAAAAAAAAATTTCCCCTGGGATTCGAACCCAGGGAACTCTTGCGCTTAACGCAATGCTAGGCAATACGCTGAATTATTTGGCTACAGAGACGTAGTTAAGTGCTTAAGAACGTCAAATCAGTTACTAACTAAAGACTAAATATACATTTACAACCAGTTCTCAAATCAAGAGGGTAGTACGAACAAGAAGAACTGGCAAGAAACTCGCCGCCACTCCTTTTATGTACAAGTTCTCGTATTTTAGGTATTCTTTTCTTCTAAGAGCGGGTTCCTACAATCGCAAAGCATTTTTGTTAATTAACTAATGATGAAGTCGTAATAATTATATCCAAGCACTTTTTGTTTGACATCAATTCTAACTTATTTATTAACAATGGTTGCACGTTACTAGGGACTTTATTAAACTATCGTATGATTGTTATACTTATTTTATCCTTGATATTGAATATCAATTAATTGTGGAAGGCTTTCACGGCCATCGTTCAGCATATCATTGTCTTTCGGACTGTTCGGCCGATGTGAGCGCGAAGAGTAACGAGGAGTTAACATCCTGATGATGCCGTCCACATGTGATGCCGAAACGTCGAGAACGTCTTCCTGCTCACATCGGCCGAACAGCCCGAAAGACAATGATAATATATTTAATATCGTTTTTACAGCTCTTGTTTAGCGATATTACAATATGATCTGATATTACGAATGGGTATTATTAACCATATTGGGTGCTACGGAAGTTCGTATCTTAGACGTTCTCGAATATATGCGCCAAGATAAACAAGCATTAGGGAACCTCTCACAAACATTAGGGAAATGTTTTCACTGATAATATTATCATGCAAATCTAGGATTTAATGTAAACATAGAGTAATATCGAAGCTTAGTATTTGTGAGTGAAAGTTTGTTTTCATAACAATAACATTTATTTTTTATTGAAAAAGATCTTAATTAAAAGTAGATTTTAAATTGAATACCTCTAATTTGTTGCCACCTTTTTACATACACGGTTATTAAACCTGTTTGTATTTTACGCGAGTAGTTGGTACACATTCTAATAAAATACTTTAACGGATTAAAACGCGAATAATATTAGTTAAACTTATCAAAGTAAGTTAGCATATAAACCGTCAAAGTGTTTTATTTAAATGAGTACTACTCGCGTAAACTACAGACAGCATTTGAGTTTAACTAATACTAATATACTCTGCATTTTTAACTGTTAAAGTGTTTTATTTAAAAACACAGTTTTATTAAATTAAATTAAATTGTAGTTAAATTAAAGGTTAGCTTGCACACTACAAAAGATTGAGCCCTGCTTTAATCGTTGTACAATTTAACAATATTGAATCGGTCTTATGACAATGTAACAGCTTACGTTTGCCTCGATCGCGATAATTGCATTTTTAATGGACCATTAAAATTTATCACCAAAACAAATTTTATGACAAATGACAGTGATAATGGTGGAAGATATAAAAGGCGTTTCAGTGTCAATTACAAATTTCAGCAATGAATATTGTAAGATTTTTACTTTGAGTGCTCGCCTTTCTATTCATGATTAGTGTTGCAACTGCTGACTTCTCAAATCCTTTCGAATTCTTTGTAAGTACAATAGAAGTAGAACTTCTTTCATGTGTCATACTTGTCGAGGGTTTGTGAAAATGTTAGTATTAAATAATCTATTTTAGTCTTCGTTAATTTCAATTCGTCTTTTCCTTAAAACTTCTATATAGAGGCAACTTCAGCGATCTGTTCACATAATAAAATTGAACTAGACCGTGGTTGATGGTGGTGGTGGCTGGTACGTTTAAAAATTCAATCGTAGTCAAATTGTGATGAAACTAACTCTACAGTTCCCGTATAACAATAACAATGTAGATAGTCTGTTGCTTAAAATATCCTCTATACTTATCTGCGGAGTATAGAAATTAAACGATGAGTACGTTGCGCAATAAGAAACTAAAAGAATTTATATTTAAAGTGGAATAAACGAAAACTTACTTAACATCGAAGAAAGGTTATGGGCAGTTTGATTGTCAACAACCGTTGCTAGGCAACCCTTTTCAAAATTTAAGTACGAAAAATTTGTAAACAAAACATACATAGTTACATTGTCATATATTCAAATTACGTTTCCGCTAACAAATTAAAAGAAAACCATGGAAATGGTAAACAATTTGTACTTTATTCATTCGTAAATGAAATTATGAGCACGAAAGTCTTAAAAGATTTATCAACTTTCATGGCAATTCCGTCAAAACAATTTACAATAAAACGTTTATTGTATTTCGTCAGCAGTAAGATATAATGCGTCATTTGTGCCTTATAGCGATTTTATGTAAGTAAATAATTATTAAAATAATACTTCTAAAGCTTAAAAATTGAAATAAGGAAAATGAAGGAAAAATACAAATTTTCCATGTTATTCCTTATGACTTGTTGTTGTAGAAGAATTTGTTCTCTACAAATTTTATTTCCAAGGCGTGAAACCGTTTTATTGTTAATGGGCGTCAAAATTTGTTTTTACGAACTTCCTTTTCATTACAGCTGTTACTCACGACATTCGTATCCCGTCGCACGCGTTCCGTCGTTCGGGTCGTTCTTGCAAGTTAATCTTAAAAGATAGACGTATAGCGTTGCGGACTTGTTCACATTTCCCGCTATACCTTTGTTTCTATTAGGCACAGCGCGATATTTCATATCCTATAGCCTTCCTCGATTAATGCTCTAACTGACATAAAAATATTTTTTTCAATTTAAACCTAAAAAAGTAATTCCTGAGATTATCGCATTCAAACAAACAAACAAACTCTTCAGCTTTATATATTAGTATAGATATAGATAGGTGCTAATCTAAATAGCAGATAGATCAGAGACGTATTGTTTCTTTCATTAGTTTAGTTCTTTGTCAGTCTATTGATGTAAAGATTTTAATAAAGACTTTATTTTAATCATTTATTTGATATCACTATCAATTTTTCAATATGGCGCCTCTGTGGTCGCATTTGCTGTTTGTGAATTTGTATTATGTTTCATAAACTAATAAATAGATATCGTATTCCATAAGAAATCATAAATTGTTATTATTTTCCTTTCAGTTGTTTCTGTAGAAGGTCATTATGTAAACAAAACAATAACAAAACCAGGCCGAGTGAGGTTTTATCCAAAGAATTCCGTCTTCCGGAAGTCGGACCTAATAGACAAAGGTTGTTCGGTGTTTTTGAAGGAATGCCCGGCTGCTTACAAGTGCGTAAGTCAACAATATAAGTATTGAGTTATCGCTAATAATTATTTTTATTTTTGTATACGCGTCTGTAGTTTACGCGAGTGGTACACATTTAAATAAAACACTTTGACGGTTTAAAACGCGTTATATATTAATTAGACTTATTTGATTTTTTAAATAATTACGGGGGAGGGGTCTCCGCGTGACCACGGCGGTAATGGCGACTGCTGCAAAGCATCCGAAACGTCGGGCCGAAGTTAATAATAATTTCTAAATAAGTTTAACTCATATATATCGCGTTTTAATCCGTTAAAGTGTTTTATTTAAATGTATGAATACTTTACAGATTAATACACATATAACTAACATATCCATAGATAAACAATGAAATTTCACAGAAAGTTGATACTTGACACTTGACAATTAATAAAAACTATATTAGACGTGTGTATATAAAATCTCGCGGTTATCCATAACTCAATTAACAGACCGACTGCGTTGACTTGTGACGTTATTAATAAGAAAAACCACTTAAACCAGACTTAGTGGGGATAAACGATCCATTATTTATATAATTAATACGTTATTTTCTATATGTATATGTCTAATTTCCCCTATGTACAAGAATTTAAGCTGATCGGTATTCCAGACAGGCGAGTAATGAACCAATCAGTCTTTTAAGAGAAAAAACACTTTTGTTTACCCGGAAATCGACTTTCCGTGACATCCGCCTTCAGTAAACACAATATTTCTCGTAACTTTCTGATTTATGCATTGTAGCGAACTTTTTTATGATAGAAGGGTACAGACAGCCATTCTGTTATGTAAAGAGGAAAATTTAAACATTGTGCCATTTAAACAAGATGCGCTGTCGGCCTATTTTGTCTTTGGAGTCCACAAGACTGACATTGAAACGCGATAAACTTCAGAGCTTTTCATCTGTGGACGTTGGTTCGTAACCCGGATATCCAACGATGTAGATACCGCATCTTGTTTAGACCTAGGTATTCACCTCCATGAAGTAAGTATGGGGGTTCTTTCACATAAAAATATACCTCATCTCATCTCATCTCATTCTACTGTTGGTGATATAGATATTTTGGTAAAATGTATTAGCTAACAACCTAATGCTTTTAATTTTATACTGTCTGTAGTTTACGCGAGTAATACACATTTTAAATAAAACACTTTAACGGTTCAAAGCGCGATATATTTTAGTTAAACTTGTTTGAAAATTATTTTTAAAGACGGCCCGACGTTTCGGATGCCTTGCTGCAGTCGTGGTCACGGGGAGTCCCCTTAAAGTGTTTTAATTGAATGCTTATATTTCAGACGAAATATAGTATGCGCCAGACATTACGATGGACAGTTCAAAACGTTTTCGAATTATTGCGAGTTGGAATATGAAAACTGCAACAGTTGGAGACGTGAGTTAATGCTTCAATTTATAAACTACCCACTTCAAAACCATTATGTGGAAAATTGACCAAAAATAATAAAAAATTACTTAGACCGGAGATCGAACTCCCGACGACATCAAGCACAGTCACAGTACACACGTTACCCGACTGTGCCACATGTGAGCAGATGAAAATAGCTCTATTAGTTAATAATAGTCTCAAAAATAAATGACTACACATTTTTTATAGTAAATAAGCAAACGAATTGTTTTAATGTCGCGAGTGACTTATTAAATAGAATTGAATGAAATAATGTGTAAGCAAGTCCAAACGTTAAAACCTAACAAAACATCGTTGAACAATAATATTCCCTATTTCATTGATTGCGTAGTAAATTCATAAAACAAAAATTGACTATGCAAACTCAGCGTCAACGTTTCACAATAGTGTTATGATTCCGAGAAACCGGGGTTGAAAACACTTGGAATTTTAAATAGTCGGCTTCATTGTTCCTAATATAAATATGCCTAAAATAGATAAAGGCTTCCGAATTAACACGACCGTATTTATGCCTCCTATAACGAACTTTCAAACAAATTTCACAGTAGTTTATCATATACCCAGCTTTTGCTTAATTACTTATTAAGTAACTTATTCTGTATGTTATTTAATACGATAACTAGATTTTGTTATTATTTAAGTATATAATTTGGGGCATAATATGTACTAAGTATTATTTTGGAAACATTAATCTTTTTCACATGTTATTACACAAGATGGCATTATAAGTATAAATAAAACACTTTAACGGTTTAAAACGCGATATATTAGTTAAACTTATTTGAAAATGATTTTTAACTTCGGCCCGACCTTTCGGATGCTTTGCAGCAGCCGTGGTCACGGGGAGACTGAAACTCATTTTCAAATAAGTTTAACTAATGTATCGCGTTTTAAACCGTTAAAGTGTTTTATTTAAATGTGTACTACTCGCGTAAACTATAGACAGTATTATAGGTATAAACCAAAAATCGATTTTAGATTGAAGAGAATTTGCTACTGGCGCGTTCTAACCACGGCGCGGTAGCTCAATTGGGTAGGTCGACAGTACGATACGGCCGGTTCAAGGCCTGCCCGTATCGAGAATTTTTTTCGATCCCAAATCGATTTTTTCTATTATTTGTGTTTTACTGATCAATTATATTAACAAACCTGTGGAAATACTTGTGCTTTACCCGATCGAAATATTTTCCTGTGCTCCTCGAGATATGACTCCATGTACCATGACGTCGCAAGTATCACATTAAAATTCGATGAACGATATTTTTGGACACATATTTGATTTACCATTCAATTATGGAATTCTGCATAACCAATTGAATTAATTTCATAATATAATATAGAAAAAGACATAGAAGCAAGTGGTTCACTTGATGGAAGGTGAAATTCTCCAGCCATAAAGCCTTAATAAGATGTGCTGTCGGCCCATTTTGGCTTAGGATATTCGGAAATCCACAGGCAATAATTCAAGGTTTATTCGTTTATTTCCTTTTCAGAATGGAGTATGGTGAAACGTGAGCGGTGCTAATTGCTATTTTAAATGCTAAGGCACTTATTATAGGTGGCTAAACAATTTACTTCTAAATTGAATCTGGTATTACTTCAAACTTCGTAATAATTCTTACTTTATAATAAATTCATAATACAACATTATTTCTTATAAGAAATACGCTTGGAGTGGAATTGTTATATTTATTTATAATATTATATAATTCACAATTGACATTTTGTTTGTGCAATTATGTTAGTGTGTGTGTGTGTGTTGTGTCAGCAACTTCGTCCCGTCGTCCTTATAAGTTAATCTTAAAAGATAGGTATGTATATTACTTTTTGTCGCGGACATTTTTTAGATAATTTTAAGAGAAATCATTTTTTTATAAATTTTTTTGGGTATCTTGAACCATCTTAGCAGCGCTTGTATATTAGAAAGGATATAAATTATATTTATAGAACTGTAGAATATTAAACAATCATATTTAAATAAAACACTTTTTCTTTTTTTTACCCCTTTTTTTTTTTTTTTTTTTTTTTTTTTTTTTTTTTTTTTTTTTTTTTTTTTTTTTTTTTTTTTTTTTTTTTTTTTTTTTTTTTTTTTTTTTTTTTTTTTTTTTAAACAATAATATGTTAAAAAATACGAAACAAAGTATTAAGACGTATGGCATACATATTAAAGATATATAGAATTCAATTAAATATTCTAGAAATTGCGAAGCTGCTTTAAAATTCAATTCCCAATTCTCAGGGTATTTACCAAGCCGAGCACTTGGCTCGTAATCTGTGCCTTAAGTTGTTTGTATGTTAACCTACTTAAGAGATCCGATTTTCAGATTGTCGACAAGATAATTTGCTTTGACATTTTATAGGTTTCGATTCGCTGAAATTAGACACTAACATAATATTACATCGATTCTTTATTCTGGGGAATCAATTCAAAGCGGAGCCCACGTTACATGTTATATATTTAAAAAAATTGAACTTAAAGTATTTTAAGACGAAACATCTTTGTAATACACTTTTAACGGTTTAATAAAATTATCAGGTAAGGTTCTCACAAATCACGAAAAATAAATTGGATATTATACAGCAGCCTTACTCACGGCTGCTATAAATTTCGCGTTTTAAACTTTAAGAATTGTTTTCGTTACGAAAACTCCCGAAAAGAAACGTTTAGCAGTTATCATCATGATAATAACGCCATCTGTTTTCAATACCTGGAATATGAAATGCTTATAATAAGATTATATTTCATAAATAATATAAAATTTTAATTATCTACTAAACATAAAAATGGAACATACAAAATTTACATTCAAGAAAATGATCCCTTTTGTAGTCGTTTATGGAATCTAGTTATTTTGAAATTATATTTTTGTACTGTAATGCAGGAGCAGTAGTTTCATTTAAAAAGAATGTAGCTTGAATTTCATTTGACAATAGAGAGACTTACTTGCTTTAATTCTACAATTCTCATATTCCATTAAACACAGCGAATTGAAATTTTTCTTTTCCGAGCGAGAATTAATTGCGCAAATATTTTGTTTCCTAGAGAAAAAGGAAACGTATGTATTATAGTATTAAATGATACATTGTTAAGTGACAGATTAGAGTATGTTTTAACGTTTAATCTTTAAATGAAATCGATAAAACATATTTTTATTAGAAATTTTTTCATAAAATAGTCAACAATTTTAATAACTCCTATAATATATTATTTTTTGAAATAATCTTAGAGGTTGATTTATCCTACTTAGGTTTTAGTACAAAGACTAGATTAGACAAAACCTTGTACGATTGGCACCGCAGCGCCTTATGTAACCGAACCAACCAATAGAATTTATTACAGACTCTGATAGAAATCATAATTGAAACTCAGTCTACTGCTACCGTATGCGTAGGGGAATGAAAAGCCAGATGGAGAAGCGCCGTAACGTAACGCGTTACGGCCATGTAAACATGCGGTTTACTCATAAGAAGTACCTCAAAATCTTTACCTACGCTAAAAAAAATTATCCATAATATTAACCTGATTGGCTTATTTATTCTCTAAAAATAATCCATTCAACAATCAGCACTTGTATAAACAAACGGGAGCCCCTACTGTACTGTACCTATCAGCAACGAAGCATTCAACATAATCCTCCATACATTCCTCCAAATCTTCTTCGAGCTGTGTTTTATTCACTTTGGCTTCCGAACCGAAATCAAATTCGGGTGGTAAAGTTCGTAGGGTGACATCCCCAAGATCGTAATCTTGGCCACACAGTGTTGATACAAAACTCAATAATACTATAGACTTTGAAAGACTGTACATCATACAGTTCCTTACTTAAACGATTAATTTGAAGTAATGATCCATACAATTTGTAATTAATTAGTAATGGCTTTTGCAAAGTTAACTATAAATCTATTTCTAGCCGTTTGTTGGATTGAATGAAGTTAAATTGTGCGTCATAGTTTTATTATATGTTTAGTTTGGGAGCTCGGTTTTTAGTAGTCTGCCATCGGCTCACTACATTGAGTTCTCTAGTCATTAAAAAGGCTCTCATACTCTTATATTAAATGTGTGACACGGTCGTTAGTCCAAGCAATGTATAGCTAATAATAAATGGCTGATGGGTTTGATCACCATCGGTACCAACATGTTTCTAATAAGTTTATATTTTTTACTAAAAATTGTTGGACTTCGTCTATAAATCTGGATAATAAATGGGTGGAATGTCGGAATTTGGTCCGCGATACCTTGTGGGTCTCCTATTACAGTTTAAAAAGTCGTGAAGTCGCGTTTCAGTTCCAGTCTGTGATTTCCGAATATTCAAAGCCAAAATAGTTTGGCAGGCCATCTTATTGAGATTTTATATGGCTTAATTTAAAAATAGACTACATTCTTATTATTAATTAAAAAATAATGATAATTAGCCACAAAAATCAACCAAGGTAAACGTTATATTTAAGATCGGGATCACGAACCACGCTCATCACTGTTTTCTTTCCTAGGACCACGACCCAAATCTCAATTAGCATATTGTAGACAATGCCTTACAGTTTAGCCTTGTATTACTAAATGCCAGGACTAAAACGATTCTAGGAATTTGTTTTAGACTTTGAAAGGGGTTCCTACGTAATGATGTTAAAGAATGCTTTAGTTTGTATTCGCATAGCATATAAACTACTTTCCCTCAGTTTACAGATAAAGAAAAAATAATCTAACCTCATATATGCTAGCTGAACGGATAAATGTTTTGTTTATTTGCAAGATTAATATAATTATGTTGGCAAAACTCTTACAAATAGTAATATAATTAATATCGACCACATATTATAATTCATAAACGGTTCTTGCGAGATAATTTTGAAAGATAGACACGTACTATCGCTGTACATGTTTTTGTTTTAATCATTTAAGGATATATTTATATTTTTAAATTCATAGAATAAGTCCTGGAGTGCTTATAACTAATAAAATAAAATAAATAAAAATAAAATAAATATTTTTGATGTCTCGAAACGCTTTCTTAGCGCACTTAACGGAAGCTCTCAAAGTTATATAGATTTTTCGATTTTCTTTAACACAATATTCTGAATTCAAATTAGTAATTCTCCAAAATATGAGTTTGCTTTACCATATTAGATGTAATATGGTAAAGCAAATTACATCTAATATGGTATATATTGTTATTTTTAATGAAACTGAGAGAACATTTGATGTAACAAAAGTAAGGCAAGGCAATAAAAGAGAATTATAAGTTTGGACAAAGTTTAATTTCGTTTAATACTTATTCAACTAGTTACGACGAAGAGAGAACAGCAAATTACGTTTTGGGCTCAGAAAAACGCAAATTGCTCGACAATTATTTACAAGTTTACAATAACAGATTAATATAATTAATTTAATGTAAACACCTCTATTATACACTATACACACGCGCTCTAAAACAATACGCAAAACTAACGTCACTTGAAACATTCCTTTCTCTAGTAGATTTTTGAATTAAACAATATGAAGAGATAGGCAATACGAAAACGTTAATTTCGTTTATGTTTCAGTCTTCAAATTTAAGTCACTAGAATTGACCAAGTTCATAGTACCGTACGCAATTCGATGCTCTCTTGCTATTTAAAACAAGACTTTAGTCAGAAAATTTGGGAACACTGTGATGTTTTCGTATTAGCTGTAACAGTATGTTCTATCTGCGCCAGCGCCGTCAGTTCCGTTTCCATTTTCTTATTCTTCGCTCTTAGCTTCTCATTATTTTGTCCCTTCTTCCGCCCGCAGCACAGAATCTCTTCGAACTCCTTCCGAAAGTTATCATTTAGCCAACCATAGAGTAATGGGTTGGATACGGCGCTTGACATCCCGAACATGTGACAAACAGCGTAAGTTATCGTTAACGATTTCTCATCTAAAATCGCGTCTTCACTGAAATCTGCTACTAAATTGAAGACGTTTAAAGGTAACCAACTTATGACGTAGGTTACAGCGATAGCTATGAGAATCGCTGGTGTTTTTCTAGTGGTTCTTCGTCTTCCTCGAAGTCGTCTATGGATTTGGACGTGTGCTATGACGACGACGAGGACCGGTAAGACATATTGGAAGATAAGACTTAGTAGAGAGTAGATCGCTCTTCCGTTAGCAATCGGCCAGTCTTCTATACAGAAGCTCAGAATATCCATTCCGATTAAACCGACTTTATGGGTCTTGAGACTTCTGAAGATGTAGAGTGGAGAGGCTAGCGAGAAGGCAGTAACCCAGATGAAGAACATAGTGACTAGAGCACCCATGGTCTGTAGGCCTGGTCGTGTTGGGTAGACAATTAGCTGTGAACAAAATATTATGTTATTCTCCTTTTTATTACTTAGACTTGAATTAAGAATATCTACATCGCAGTTATAATCTTAATATTATAAATAAAATTCTCCTACAAATATCTGAAATCTCAATGTGGGGGTATTGTTTTCTTGTTCTAGTTTTTATTAAACCTTTTCGTATTTAACAAGAAATTCTATTTCATTTATTTGAACGTGACAATTTTCCCAATTCAGGGTACTCATTCTTGTCTTCACGTATTTGCAACACATCATTATTCAGGTAAGCGTTCAACGTTCGGATGATCGACGCTTTACTATAATTACGTTATGCCAGCGACTTATGTGGAAAATGTCTGCGTATTAACCAAACGTAAACTATCTTATCCTTTTTTATGTAGCAATATATACGAGACTGTATATTTTTAGGTCACTAAAAAAAGAATCATCAAAATATAAAAATTGAATTAAGAACAATCTTTTAACTAAAACACTCCCCGTGGCCACGGCTGTAAAGCTTCTGAAACGTCGTCGTAGTTCAAATAGGTTTAACTAAAATATGTCGCGTTTTAAACCATTAAAGTGTTTTATTTAAATGTGTACTACTCGCGTAAACTACCGACAGTATTTAACCTCCGTTTTGGAAGTTAGTTAACTAAAAACAAGTTGTTAGCTCAATTTAATCTAGCATGTTTGTAGGTACTAAAAGAAGTGATAGAAGACTAAACATTTCAAGCGTGCGATAACTAGACGGTGTCGGTAGCGAGCTGGCACGTCAGTCAATGGTCTCAATTTACCAATAAATCGCCTTACGATCATTCAACCATGTTGAACGATTCAGGGATTTTAGTTATAAGCAGAACGTATTACCCTGTCTTACCCATAAGTCAAGGCATTCTTGTTAAAGTAGATAGGAAATCATTTCTTGTTGCTGAAAAGTTTTCGATTTGTAATTCGAATTAATATAATGAATCCTAAATTCCCTGCGGATTACAACAACCAGTTTAAACTGATTAAATCGGGAAAATTAATAGAAATATTTAAAACAACCTCGCATGCGTTAGCTCGGTCTCTGAATGGGCCACATAATATCAGTGTTGGGACGTCAGTCCCAACGTACTAGCTGAGTGGACTCATTTTTCAGAGCCAACTATATTGTGGTATTAATTTTAATTCTTTATATACTTTCTGATATTGTTTTGATTAGATTTGATTTGTATTGGATTAAGTTTTAATTGTAAATGTTGTTTCTGAATAAACGTATTCTATTCTATTCTATTATTAATTACATAGTCACGGGAAGACTGTGGTCCATAGCTACTTAGCTTACAGACAGTAAGTACTATAGCATCCAGCTATAATACTTACTGTCTGTAATTTACGCAAGTAGTACACCTTTAAAAAACACTTTAACGGTTTAAAACGCGATATTTTTTAGTTAAACTTATTCGAAACGAAGAGATGGGGGTGTCACCCCATGACCACAGCTGCAAAGCATCAGAAATGTCGGCCGGTAGTTAAAGTAATTTTCAAATAAGTTTCACTAATATATATGGCGTTTTAAACCGTTAAAATATTTTGATCTGTAGTAAGATGTAGATATCTGTCTAGAGCTTTACAGAAATGAGGTTTTTTAGGATTGTTTATGCCTTTGGATCAATTTCGTGACTACTGTTCATTGTTTAGTTATCTAACCCTAACTATAGTATTGCACTTGTAATTTACAGCTACCACGTTATCTTCTTTATTGAGTGGCGTTATCAATCCAGTGTGGCCGGTGTTTGGTTCATTACACGATACTCGCATTACCGATAAATAATATCATAATCTTATAAAATCAATAACCGGTGACAAAATAATTATAGGAAAAATAGAATTCTACAGTGAAATCGCATGTAAATATAAAAAAAGGGTTGCGCTAATAGATTTTAAAATGAGACACTTTTAACGGTTTAAAACGCGAAATATATAAGGTATCGTATTGATTAATAACACATGTTTCTGTTGGTCACGAAAGGACTAAAATAAACTCAACTTACAATTTACGCGTTTTGAACCGTTAAAAGTGTTTTTATCATATGTAAAATTAAACTACTCGCGTAAACTGCAGACAATAGATAGGTTACACTGTAAAGCCCGACCTGCTGTGTCCTAATAAAGTTATTTTGTTTTGCTAGGATTCAAACAGCAGACTTTGGAGAATGTTTACGCGTTTAACAGCGAGGGCAGAGGCTGTAGATTTACATGAAATATTCCTCGAAACTGTTAAATTTAATATTATTCGTAAGATCAACTACTTAGCAACTTACACGAGTGCATCTCACTGAGATTATATCAAATGAACACATGTTTTTTGTCGACGAAATCGTTGAATTCTGCAAAGATTTGTATAACGTATACTGCGTTATTTTTAAAATAATTGAAATACTTGACAAAGCAATATAGAAGACTAGCCTGGGTTTCAGGATGGGGTAAATTCCCCGGTCATTTTGGCTTCAGCCATCCCGAACAAACGTCATACAGATTTCGCAGAAGTCAATCTACCGATTTACATTGTGCTTAATAAAATGCTCGAGGTTATTGGATAAACATTTAGTTTTAAACCGAAGCTTTCAACATCGAACGTTCGACTTTATTGAAAAGTCGTAAATTACTGTTTCGCCCACCGTTCGCTCTTAATGAAATTGTCTTATTCCACAAAACGTGCGATAAATATTTACAAAGATCCAACGAGTTTAACTAAAATATAACGCGTTTTAACCCGTTAAAGGGTTTAATTTTAAAAGATCATTGTATGCAAAAATAATTATATTTAAATACGATCATTTATCACAGTTAATCAACAAATCAAAATTAAAGAACTACGAACTTTTTGAAATTGTAAAATACTAGATGGTCTGTAGGTTACGTTAGGAATACACACTTAAATAAATCACTTTTAACGGTTTAAAATAAAAAATAAATAAGTTAACTTATTTTAAATGCTACAATTGCCAAATATCAAATACGACACAACAGATGGCGCTAGCGGTTGGGTTTACTGATAATAGGAACACCTCACACCGTGACCACGACAGCTACCAAGCAGTCGTAACGTGAGTTGTAGTTAAAATTAGTTAAATTATATATTTCGCGGTTTTAGATGATGCAACAGAAATGTCGAGCCGTAGTCATAATATAATAAATGTATCTTTGTAAGTTTAACTAATACATTTCGCGTTTTAAACAGTTTAGTAAAGTGTTTTATTTAAACGAAAAATAAGTCTTTATCGTAATTCCAACCAGTTTCAAAGGACCTATTAATAGGATACGGTTTTTGTTTCGAATTGAAGAAATTATTAATGGACATAATACGACTAAACTCGCTTATCACAAAATGTACACCACTGAGTTAAATCTTCAAATCAGTGGGGTTTCAAAACTCGAGCTGAATTCAAAATTAGACTTTATTGCACCTAAATCACTAAATTACATGTAAGTATTATTAGCTCCTACTTATTAGATCAATAGATTTAGAAGTTTATTTGAAGTAAGCAGTTTACGCCAAGATTTGAACCGTTGACGTCATGCTAAAGTAAATTGCATTACAATCCTCTGAGGGCTGCAAATCTTTAAATAAATGTTGCAATATAGCTTATAATATAGAAATACAGTTTCTTTTGTAGTATATACTTTATCATTTATAGTATATACTTTTTGAGTGCTTGATTGTATTTAACAATTAGTAGCATACACATTATTTATATAAAAAACAGAAAACGTAAATTAAACAAAATATAATTTAACAAAGTCAATGTAAAGATAACTAAGTAAGCAATAAAGAAAAATCAAAGAAAATTATATTACACACTAAACTTTTTATTAAGGTTCCCGTGATTGGAGCCCAGGGCGAAATTATCTTAATACCATAATAAGAAGAAAGAAAGAAGAAGAATTTAGTAACTAAACTCGAAGTACAGTGCTAACTGAAGAAAAAGAAGTTACTTAAACTTCAAATGAACATTAAAAAAACTTATATCACAAGGCTGCTACGAAAATGCAGTGATTTTATAAATAACCACGAACCTCATTTAATTTTTTTTTATAAATGGTAGATTAAGATAACGTCTAAAATGGATTGTTTTAGAATTTGCTTATACAATATAAAATGTGTGTAAGACACCCCTTGTTCCGAAACCAAAGATCTTTCTTATTTCAAAAAATATTTATAAGATTTTTCTCAAAATATAATATCATTTATATTATTTGAATTTCAAAAGCACTCGAAAGGATTTCACACTTGGAGAATTTTCAACAAAAATGCACGATATTTGAGAAAGTACTGTCCGTTTTAAACACAAGTATCCAGTAGTTAAGGTTGAGATAAGTGCGGCTATACAGAAACACGAGCGAAAATTCTACGTTTCATTTTACGTGTTCACACTTGAAGAATTTGAAGGCTTTATGAAAACCTCACTCTTCAGTATTCTACTCGTGAAGATTAAAAATAAGCAACAATAATATACAAGATGTATCTTCCAGCAGACAAAAAAGTAATTTATGTTTTTAATATATTTTTTGTTGACCTCGACTGAAAAAAAGTTAACACACTTGTTCTGTATAATAATTAAAATTAATACAATGTTGATATATTCCTTCAATTTTTCATTTTGCCATGGTTTAATTTTGTTGCTTTTTTAGTGCCTATTTAGTCTATTTTCATGTGTACTTTCATGTATACTTTACGCATGAAAATATCGAACATATAAAACACTTAAAACGGTTTTAAACACGAAATGTATTAAATTTATTTACAAATTATTATGACTGCGGCTCGACATTTCCGATGTTGTGGGGTGTCTTTCGTGGTTAAAATAATTTCTGTTTCTTGTAGTTTAATAAATTGTTAATGAGTTTAACTAATGCATATGGCGTTTTAAATTCCTTCCAAATTATTTTATTTCAATGAGTACTACTCGTGTCAACTACAGACAGTACTTATGTGATGTTTAAACTATTGTAAGTAATGCGTCTAGTATGTATTATAATTTTATAAATATAGCATAAAACAATAGTACACTATTAATAATAATATATATTCTATTGAAAACTAGTAACTATTGCGATTATTTTGCGAATGGAAACAAACGAAGCTCCTAAATAAATGATAGGGTTGGCAAAAACTAAAAATAGAAACCCACCTGATATCTATCTAAAGCGATCGCAGTGATTGATATCGTGGATACAAATATTGATATGGCCTGGATAGCCCCGCACGCTTTGCACAGCCCTGGCCAATCTGGTAAAGGCCAGTGCTTCGTGAGGAGCTCCATGAGGGTAAGAGGTGTTCCGACACAGCATACCAGGGTGTCAGAAACAGCCAGGTTCACTATGAACATGTTACGGGCTGTCCGCATTGCTGGTTTCTTGACCACCTGACAACAAAATGTAACAGTGTATTAAATTGTAATTGGCCTATCTATACATTTACTATAGACCAAAATTTATTTATGATTCTTTGCAAGAATGACGGGCGGCAGACGACGTCTTGGCTTACAGCTTAAATTTATAAAGATGAGTAGCAGGTTTGCAAAAACAAATTTTGATGCCCAAAACTATTCTTCTCGGAAGAAGTCGCAGCCACCAAGGCTAAAAAGCATCAGAGTCTTGGTAAGTCCACCTATACTTGTTTACGAATGAACAATTTATTTACTTCAGCAAGAGATATTTGTGTTGACTGTTAAAAATCATTCCGTCAAAAATGTATTAATGATCATAACAAATCTTATCTGTTCTCTGTAGGCTTAACCCACTTTTATCTTCAAGAGACCATCACGATTACATTCAACGACTAATCTCGTATCTGTTTGAAAGAGAGATATAACATTATATTGCGTTTGTTTATTTTATATATCTTGTACAGCATGTCATTTGCTTTCAAATTTCTATAAATCGTGTACCAAGACAACATGAGGTATTAACGGGTTATTAATTGATGATCTTATGAGTTATGACGATGTAATTAACAAGCCACATTAGACGAAAGATGTGTGTTTTTTGGTAGTTAGAAAGGGGATAAGTAGCTTTTACGTGTTACAACTAATGTAATAATCAAAGGGTTTGACTTACTGAAAGTACGACAAGTGCATTCCCGACAGCTCCAATAACTACCAGGATGCCATAAAACGCTAGAAGGATAGATCTTGTCGGGTCATCGACCTTTCTATTCTGAGAGAACTTGTCAAGGAGAGAGTTTGGATTCTCAACGCCGAGTGACGCCTCGATTAGCCATTTAGCTGAAGCATTTAGGGTGAAATTCATACTCGGATCCGAAGCCTGAAACAAAGGTTAACAGTTTAATTACAGTACTTGTTTGAATTCATTCCATTTAAAAAAAAAATAATATAATACTTCTATTCCATATACATAATCACTGATGACACTTAGGGCTTTATTGTAGTAATATTAATGAGTGGGTAAGGTTGAGGTATTTAGAATTATATTCTTATGACGTCATTTTTTAATTAGATAGCAATCAAATAATTATAATATTAAACAGTTTAGCATAGTTTAACTTACTATTCGAATAACAAATTCTTATGACGTCGGCTTAACCATAAACAACAAAAATTTGAAACAATTTAAAGTTTCTTTGACACCTTTATGACCAAAATCTTTCGAGTACTGCATAAAAATGCAAAAATATTGATCTCGGATAAAAGAGAATTCTACGAAACCAACAAACTGAATCGTTGACTGATAAAAGTGCTTAAACAAATCTTAAAGTCCAATCGGACCCGAAAATATTTACGTTTCAATCTCCGTTTTGCGTAAAACCACGTAAAACTGTCGACGGTTTTACGCCTTTACGCGCTGTTTACGAGTACAGGAATTGACATTTTTAGAGCTACCGCCCGAATCTAAGCTTTTCATTTAACTGGCGGCCTTTCATTTGAGGAAAATCACTGTCTCAAAACAACTGGAATTCAATTTTATTTATTTATTTTTGTTTCTGTATATATAATACACAATTACATATTTAATTATAAATATATAAAATATTGTTATAAGAAAAATAAAAAATATACCTTAAGCACTGTTTGTATTTTACGCGAGTAGTACCTACACATAAAAAAACACTGTTTAACTTATAATTTATTTACAATGTATTTTACAGCAACTGCGACGACAATAATAACTTTCCCGTTTCAAACCGTTAAAAAGTATTTTCTTTAATTTAAACGCCCCTAAATTATAATTATATTTTAAGAAAAAGTCTTTAATTCAAATTAAAAAATAGATTGTTTGGTTTACAGTAAAAGTTAATGAATTACTTACCGTAAAAGAACTGATTAGTGAAACAATCACAGTGATTTAGTTAAATTATTTGAAAATGATTTTTAATTCGGCCGACGTTTTCGTCCTTTGCAGCAGCCTGGTCACGGACGTCTCAAAGCACGAAATGTACCAAAAAATCATTTTCAAATAAGTTTATACATTAAATATCGCGTTAAAGAATAGATTTATTTAAATGTGCACTACTCGCGTAAACTATAGACAGTAATCACAGGGTTTTTTTTGTCCCCTCCCCCCCATGAAAAAGAAATAAACTTTTTATAAATTAAATAAGAAAAGATTTGATTATGCGCATTTCTTTTTCTTTTTTTTTGTCTATTACCTACACTTGGACGTGCTGGCAGTTGAGATCTGTCCGATAGCATTGACGTAAAAATTTATCCCTGTTATACCTTACCCTTACATTTTTGGTTAATAAAACAGCCTACTTTTCAACATTAACCTTAGCAACGAAGTTACAAATTACATAAGTTATGTTGAACGATTTTATTGAGTTTTGGAAAAGTTGAGGCACAAAATATTCCTCTATATTTTACGGTAAACATGGAAAATAAATTATCCACGAAAACGCGAACATACCAATCTGTACAAAAGAAACACAGCTGGACTTGAATTTTTCTATTGCGAATTTATTATATATTCTATAGAATACGTTTTATAATGAGGTAAATTTTAGTAACGGTACTGAAAAGAATAGCAACAAAACATGTCTCGATCAAGAGAAGTAGATGTTAAAAGAGGGAATGAATAAAGTACATTTTGAAAACTTTAATATTTTTCACATCATGGACGACTATAAAATAAAGTCGCCTACACCTATGTGCGCTTAAATCTTCAAAACTATGCAACCGATATTAACGCGGTTTTTTTTAGAGATACCGTTATTCAAGAGGAAGGTCTTTATATACAACGTTTACAGTACTGTCGTCTGTACTGTATTTAGTCGAGCCGAGCGAAGGCGGGGCGTAAAAAAAATCAATTATAAATTGGAAAAAAAACGGCACTTGTGGGACCTGAAGCGGCATCCACAGCATTCCCCGCTGTTGCTCTAATCTACTGAGCTACCATCTAGTGCCCGTGTTGTGAGTTATCAATTTATATTAGTAGTAGATTTTACGATACACGTGAATAATTTCGGCATGAAAGTAGTGAAAATTAAGTTGAATTTTTTTCGTTTATAATGTTGTACATTATCCTGATTACGGCGTATAATATACACGGTCCATTATCAAGTATCTTATTTCCGTAAGAAATAAGAAGTGAAGTACACTTGTAACTTTGTCAATTCCAACTTTGCGTATAAAGAAGACAGCTTACAGTATCAAACGTCATATTTAGTCGAATAAAATTATGAGAATGGGAAAAAATATTTTCCATTTTAGACCCATCTTCTACTGAGAACTGGGTTTACTGATATAATAAAATAAATAAAATAAAAAGCCCTTTATTACGATATCTACACTTTGGAATTTACAATTTTAAATGTTTCTTACTTATATTAACAATGTTTATTTTGTACTCTAACCTTTTCCACTCCTTTCTATCTTGGGCTTTCTATTCTTTTCCGAGGTCTTCCTCTTTTCCTTTTCCCTTCCCTGGGATACCATTCTGTTACTTTCTTACTTCATTTCTCTTTTCCTCTGATTGTGTGCCCAGCCCATCTCCATTTCAATCGCCTAATTTTAGTTACTAGGTCTGTTACTTTTGTCTTACTTCTAATTATTTAAATAAAACACTTTAACGGTTTAAAACGCGATATATTAGTTAAACTTATTTGAAAATTATTTTTAACTTCGGCCCGACGTTTCGGATGCTTTGCAGCAGCCGTGGTCACGGGGAATCTCCCCGTGACCACGGGTACAAATATCACCTGTATCCTTCCCGTTCTTTCTTATGGATGTCAAACATGGGCACTATCTCAGGAAATTACACACAAATTAACTACATGCCAACATACCATGGAAAGAAGCATGTTCAACATCAAAAGATCAGACAGACAAAAGATTAAAGTAATTAGAAGTAAATACTGTCTATAGTTTACGCGAGTAGTACACATTTAAATAAAACACTTTAACGGTTTAAAACGCGATATATTAGTTAAACTTATTTGAAAATTATTTTTAACTTCGGCCCGACGTTTCAGTCTACCGTGACAGCGGGCTATAAAGCACACGAAACGTCGTGGAAAAAAATCTATATATATCTCTAAATAAGTTTATCTAATATATATCGCGTTTATATGTTTTATTTAAATATGATGTATATTCTAAATCACGTACATAGTATAAAGTATCTCAAACGTAAGTTGTACCAAGCTACATTAAAACCACTCACTCAAAAGCCTCGCGCATAAAATTACAACGAATTTGAAATGTATATGTAGGCCATTAATTCAGCCGAAATTATGAGCTACGTCTAATAGTGTTACCGAAATGGGTCAAAAGCACTTAGCGTCGAGTAGTCGTTGGATCACTATTTGTTGACTCTGCTAACTTTATTGACGGATATAACACCTGCTTTAATGAAATTCGTGTTTATTATGTAAGCTACGAAAACTTTGTCGTTCAAATAATTTAATTTGCAATACTATACATATATCTAAGCTTGTATATTTATTAATTTTGTCAAAAATAAGCACCTTCTCTCTCGTATTAAACAGTGTATACTCTCGAAATAAACCCAAACTTCTTTTAAAATGTTAAGACATTATAAAAGTTAGATTTTGAACTATGAAAACATGTTTCTTATTAATTATGTATAATTGTTGTGTAAAATTGTTAGTATAATCGCGTGTCGGTTTTAGTCTGTGGACTTCTGAATATCCAAAGCCAAGTTAAGTCAACAGCGGATCTGGTGTAGATGTTTTATGGCACACGGTATTTCACCTCCCATCAAGTCAACATATTATAAAAATTTGTAAAATATTGTTGTAGGTACTTTATTAGTTATTGCTTGGTATAAAAAATACTTTGTAAAAAAATACTTTTGTTAATCTAGTCCTAATATTATTGTCATAATTATATGAATATGATTTCAATTTATTCTTATACAAGAAATGTATTTTAAACTTTTTTACAATTTATTTTAACTACAGCCTGAGGTTTCAGATGTTAATAATAAGTATTGCTCGCGTAAACTACAGACAGTGCTCCATAGTACGAGTATATATACCTAGGATTGTGTCAAATACCTACCCTAGTATTGGTGAAACTAGGCTTAAATACTCGCGTAAACTATAGACATAGTTTACGCGAGTAGTAGGTACACATTTCAATAAAACACTTTAACGGTTTAAAACGCGATATATTAGTTAAACTTTCTTGAAAATGACCCTGGGGTCACACTCCATCTTTAGTCTCCCCATGACCACGGCTGCTGCAAAGCATCCGAAACGTCGGGCCGAAGTTAAAAATCATTTTCAAGAAAGTTTAACTAATATATCGCGTTTTAAACCGTTAAAGTGTTTTATTGAAATAAAACTAGGCTTGTATTAATAAGGGCTATTTTATTTTTCTCAAAAAGGGATTCGCGTAATCTTCTGAGAAATAATGAGAAGATTATTCTATAAAATAGGTTGTTTCACGAAAGTGATCTTAGAGGAAAACTGTACGTCAATCCAACTAGTTACAGGAACTTACAAAGTTTTAGTGCTTAACTAGTTATCCGTAGGGAAACTAGTTTGACCTGGAATAAGATACCACGAACATAGACACCATTTGCATAGAATATTATATGAACAGCACTTAGGCATAATGTTAGCAATGAATGAGTAAGTACTTCGAAAGTTTTTGCAAGATGTGGTTTATTTCAGATGAATATGATGATCAAATGAGTTCAAAGATCTTCAGAGATCTCGTGGCAGGTTCAGCAACATTCAAAAATTAAATATTATAACATTATTTACTTGACGATAGAGCTTATAAGAAAGAAAATTTCCTGCTAAGTTCAAAGTACAATCCTAGGACGTAATTTTACTGAAA